GTTTTATGCCACATGATTTTGTTTTAAAAAGATCATTAGACGTATATCATCAATGACGGATTTATACACATTGGCATTGCATTGTGTTGAATGAGCCAGAGTGGGCTGGGGTTGAAGTGTATTAGTGAGTCTTATCTCATTTCATGACATGACATAGGATTCTTATCATTGAATTCATATTCTTGATTGGAATGTTTTGAATGGTTGATTGTCGCATGTGAACATTTCATATGCATCTAGGTTGGGGAGTAATCTCTTTAGAAGATACCCTATTAAGTATGACTCACTCTTTATGGGATAACATTTCAAGTGTGGGATACACGTTAGTGGATGGCTCTCATTTGGGCCCTTAAGGAAGAGGAAAAGCCGAGATGTGACTTTATTTTGAGATTTTGTAAAATTATTAGGAAAACTTAATTTTGGCATGTAAATATAAAAGAATTGTAATCGAACTCATATGAACTGTTTTAATGTAAAAATAAATAAATAAAAAATTGAATGAGGTCAATATTTACTTATAAATGGACCCAGTGTGGTCAATATTTATTCATAAATGAACTCGGTGTGGTCAATGTAATATAATTACACATGTTGTGTTTTGGGTAGAGCTTCCCGTACAAAAGAGACTCTGTCCGAATTTTGTTAAATTAACGACTCCCGATTTTTGAGGTGTCACATGACGTTAGTAATTTTCGAAGACTCATGATTAGGGGTAACTTAAGTGGGAGAAAATTAATTACCATGATGGAAAAGCTCCAGCAACACTCCACCTTTTAAAATATTGTCGGTAGCAGATCTGTAGAGCTCTAGCAGTACTGAGAAAGTTTGGAGCAAGCCTAATCATAAATAATCAGCTTTCCCCTACCTAGCAAGCATGTGAAACAGTCTTATGTATCACGTTATCTACAATTCAAAAATTAAAAGGTCCCCAATATAAGGTAAGCAACACACATGCAGGGGAAAAATGGTTAAAAGACAGATATAATTAAATTCAAAGTTCAAAAGACTCCCCCCATGAGGAGGAGTCCTTCCCGTCATTCAAGAGGACATACTGTAACCAAAAAGAGAGTCCCCAAAAGATAAGGGAGGTTAGACTCCTCAAATAAAAGTAGACTTAACCTCCCAAAATAAATGCAGGAGCCTAGATTCCACTCTTCAGTAACTATCCATTGAAAACACTATTAAAGGAATCCTGGAAGAAGACCATATGTATGCAACATCAACACTTGCTAATACCTTCAGATCCCTTCCAACAAATACTAACTTAAGCATCGAAGAGTCAACCTCCGGAACTCCCCCTCTAGTCTTCGACTTCTTCCAGCTTGAGGAACCCTCATTTGAAGTTCTAGAGAATCGGACCAATACTACGTTGATCTATTTAAACCACTTGAAAGGGTGACAAGGAGTAAGGAGATCAACTTATCAGCTCGCATCGAGGTTGGGTAGATTTATGCGCCAATAGTTTAATGTCGTTTATGAGAAACAACTGGATATCTTCAACGTTTTCTATAATTCACTAAAATAAAAATTGTGGATGGTGATTACAAGATCAATGGATGTAACCAAAGATGATACCCAAAGTGATCAAAATTCACAAGGAATAAATAAAGGAGACAACGAAGGTAGAGAACCCCCATGGCCCAATAAATGACAAGAGGATTAGAGAATACTCAACTTAGAGAGGAACTACGACAAACTGGACCAAACCATTGAAGGCCTGGCTCAGCAAACTGAGCAAATCCTTCAAGCCCTTACTGGCTAACATCAGCAGCAACCACAATAAGCCTTTCATTCAGAAGAAAGTCCAAGCAACCTAAAAAGGGACGCATGAGACGAATATAGATAGAACGATACTCTTCACCAGCAAGAGAAGAATGCATCTCTGGACCAAAAATTCAAGGAAGTCAATGATCGAATTGGCGATGTTCTGAATACGGTCAAAACTAGAGCTCTAGAAATTGTGAAAACTCTGGTTCAATGCCTGGAATCCCCATTTTCACATGATGTCACACTATCCACTCCCATCAAAAATTAAATTGCCTTCAATAGATAGTTTTGATGGAAAAAATGATCCTTTGGATCATTTGAAAACATATAAATCTTTGATGTTACTCCACAATGTTCCAGATCAAGTTACGTGTAGAGCATTCCCTAGCACCCTCAAGGGAATAGCTTAGTTCAATAGACTCCTCCCAGGGTCTATTGGGTCTTTGTGGAACTTAGCAAATCTTTTCTTTCTCATTTTATTAGAGGGAGAACGCATAGGAAGCTTGCCACCTAACTCTTGAATCTCAAGTAGACAAAGGTAGAATCACTTCGATAGTTCATGTCAAGGTTCACAGAAGATTATTTATAAATAGACAATGTTGATAATAAGGTAGCGTTGATTGCCTTTATGGGAAGACTTCAAGGCCTCCTGTTTTCACTTTCTAAGGCTCCATATACAAGTATGGCATAACTCTTTTCTAGAGCTTAGAGCCATATGAATGCAGAGGGTGCCTTGAATGCCAAATAATGAGTGGAGGACCACCTTTCTAAAAAGAAGCGAAAAGATAAGGAGAAGCCTAACAAGGCTAACACTTCCAAAAAAGGGAAGACATACCATATACCTACAAAAGAGAGGCTAGGACCTCGATTCCCACCAGGAAGGTATTAAGGTGATACCTCTCTCACCGCCTCGATTGAACACGTTCTTTTCCAAATACAAGACAATAATGTATTAAAATGGCTTGTAAAGCTCAGAACACCTCCCCACAAGCATGAAAGAGATAAGTATTTCCAATTTCAACATTATCATGGCCATGACATAAAAGATTGTATCATCCTCAAGGATTATATAAAAGAGTTGATCCAACGAGTCCATTTGGGGAGGTTTGTAGATAGAAATCGTAGAGAAGACAGAGCTCCCCCTATAGAACCTCGCGAGCATCAACAGCTACTAAGGGAGTTAGTATGTCGTTTGAAGAAAACACTATATGTCTCAAATAATCACCACATGTTTGGTTTGATAAGTTCAGTATTGTTGTACTTTAGTATGGTTTCACATTCTATTTTAGATCATTTAATGTTTATTATGTTGATGACATTATTATTAGTGGTGATGACTTAGATACTATTGTCCACTTTAAGATTCATTTGAGGAAACAATTTCATACCAAAGACTAAGGTTTTCTTCAGTATTTTTTTGGGATTGAAATTGCTAGGTTGAAGAAAGGTATTAGTTTCTACCAACGGAAATATGAATTGGATTTATTGTCTGAAACTGGTACTCTTGGTGCATGTCCAACTAATACTCTCATCTCACGCACTCCATGATTAGGTTGGATGCTATAGTGGTGAAATTTTTGATGATGTAGGGTGTTATCGAAGGTTGGTTGGTAAGCTGATTTACCTTATAGTTACACTACCTGATATTACTTATGTTGTTTGTGTGGTTAGTCAGTTCATGTGTGTTCCTCGTAAGCCTAATTGGGAGACTATTTGTCATATTCTTTTGTTTTTGAAAAGAGCATAGGATGAAAGATTATTATATCATCCTTTATCCTCCATGATTGTTACAAATTTTTCTGATACTAACTGAGCAGGTAATCGTACTAATAGACGATCTACTTCAAGTTATTGTACATTTATCGATGATAATCTTGTTACTTAGTGTAGCAAGAAAAATAATGTAGTTGCACATTCGAGTGTAGAGGTTGAATACCGGTCATGACTCATATTATGTGTGAGATGTTGTGGGTTCGTTTACTACTTTGTGATATGAGTATCAGTGTGCTCTCTCCTATAGAGATGTATTGTGACAACTATATAACTATTTTCACTATGAGCAATCTAGTATTACATGAGACGACTAAATACATTGTAGTGAATTGTCATTTTAAACGAAATCTCTTGATACAAAAAGAGATTATCACACTATACATCAAGTCTAATAATCAACTGGGCGATAACCTTACAAAATCATTGACTCGATATGTTTTCAGTAACCTTTATTTTAAACTGGACATTTTTTATCTTTATATTCTTGGAGGGAGTGATATAATTCTTATTTTTATTACCAATATTGTGGAGTAATATTATCTATAGTATAAAATAGGACATACTTCAATAAGCCTATCCGACAGTAAAAAATAGACTTATTTAACGACCGACCATCAACATCCCTTTCAAAATCATTCACATTAAATTTCGCTCCAAATTTATCACTTCTCATTTTTGTTGTACCATATTTTTAGGGACGGATTACCCTAGTAATTATCATAATATCAATTTACAACAAAAAAAAAAAAAGAGATTGAGCAATATATACAATGGTATTCCTCTCAATCTCTTTCCCCACTCTTTTTTTTTTTTCATAAACCCTAATATCAAATTTACCATTTTAACTGTTTGGATAGATAATTAGTCACGCCTGCTTACATGGATACATTGCTTCCTAGGAGCGCATACTATTTGTTAATCTTCTGTTTGCTTTTCACAAAGTTGGGCACCGGTTTAAGCACAATTATCTGCTGTGGGGAAGAAAAAATGCTGTTTCAATATATTGGCTACATCTAGTTTGTTTCACTTGCGAAACTTTTTTTGCGTTGTTTAGTGGGTATTTTACTTGGACAACCTTTTTGTTAAGTATTGCAATTTTTTTTTGGTGAATCCTTAAATGCTTGCGGTGTTTCTGGTTGAGTTTTCTTTTGGGTTTTTATATGCGAAGTCTTTCAAATGCTTATTTAAATTCTTTGATTTGCAATTTGCAGGTCATATGACCTCCATCTTAGGGGATTTGGGACAAATGAAGTTTTGGACTCAATGAGTCGTCTGAAAATAACTTCGAGATTGAAAGGGTCTTTTATTTATGGGGTAGGAAGGGGGAAGGGAATGGTATTACATTTCAAATATTGAAGGACATGGAAGACATAAGAGATGAAGCAGGGCCAGCAGAGGAAAGGCCTCCTAATGCTGCGTGGTGGCCTTCAGATTTCATTGAAAGATTTGGATCTGTTTCTATGGACTCTAAAATAGAAACTCCGAGTCATAATGAATCAAGTAGCAACTATGAGTATGAGAGGTTTTCATCTCAGACGGCGTCACAGATCCTCTGGAGCACTGGAATGCTTTCTGAACCAATCCCAAATGGTTTCTACTCTGTTATACCCGTGAGCACTAAGCACTAACACTTGTTTGTTATAATCGCTGATAAATTGTTGATATTATTGTTGCTGCTGCTTCTTTGTTATTATCCTTTGTGGATCTGAGCCATTTGAGATCTGCAAGTGATTTGCCATTACATAAATTTATCTGCTTTTATTTTATCTCAGCATCTGTAAATGCAGTTTGTGGTTGTTTTATTCTCTTTTTTTTTTTTGGGGGGGGGGGGGACGGGAGTTGGGAAATGGAAAGGGGAAGAGAACTATAAATCTCCCTGTAATTATGCGTATTTCAGATTTCTGATGGGGAAGGTGGACATTGGTTCCAATATTTCCGAATACAAGAAGAGGGAACTTTTGGGCTTCTGACTAATTTTAATTTGGTTTTTGCTTTTATCTTTGTGCTTCTTTTGCAATTTTGGAAATGGAGCAAAAAATTCAACTGTTGAAAGTAGAAAACGATGAAAAACGGTGAGAAAAATACAAATTAAGTTGTGACTCCTTTACTTTCATTAGCATCTTTACTGGGGATGACATGGGCTTTGTGGTTGTGACTTGCATCGCTCTGGAAACATACCGAAAGTTAACCCCCCCTCCACGCCGCTGTAACCAATAAATGCAGAAATGCTTAATCTGATTTTGAATGCAAACTCTCTCACTGAGATGGAACTACTGTTGAATGCAGAAATGCTGGAAATTTTGACAGTTGACAGACATCAATTATGGTATCATAAGCTTAATTGTATTCTATGCTTTCGTAGTATACTCATATTTACTATTTGGATGGCAATATCTACTTTAATGAGGTAAAAATCTCTCTGAACAGACAATTCACGCGATAATAAAGAAATAGCTGTATTTGTTTCCTAGCTTGGTCAATTCGCGTGAAGCATGCTTGGACAACGTGAATTAAAATAGTCATATATAGCTTACCCCATGTTATTATGTTGTGGTAAATGACATACCGTGTAATTGTACATGATTTCACATGCCTCAATGGTATGTGCTTCAGGTAACCATTGACACTGAACTATTGACAATGTCCCGCATTTTAGTTTTTGGAAATCCAACATTCAAATGGAAAATGGTGTTTCCAATGACGAAAACTGGAAGTTTAATAACAGTGTAGTTCCTCTGACCCCAAATCATGTTGGATATCCAGAACCTACATCCATCATTGTATCATTTCAGTGTTGCTTTTGTTGTTTCTGTGACTTCCGTTTCTAAATTAATGGCATGTGATTTTTTGCAGGAGAAAAGGCTCAAAGAACAATTCGATAATATCCCTACTTTGGAGGAGCTTAATGCATTGGGGCTTGAGCGTTTAAGAGCTGATGTCATACTTGTACATGCAGAGAAAGATAAGAAACTTTGTATGCTAAAGCAACTGATTATGGCGCTGGTGAAAGGTTTGACCTCAAATCCTGCAGCAGTGATAAAAAAGATTGCTGGATTGGTGAGAACCCAACAGTAACCCTCCTTTATATTTGGAGCATCTTATCATCATTAGAACTCTGTAAACCACCTATTTGTATTCTGTTAATTAGTCTATTTTTTTCTTTCGGGATTGTGTCTTTAATCCATTGTGTTAAAATTATTTAAACATAATTTTTGCCTCCTATTTCTGTTCTTTAGTTAGTCGCCTCTTTCTTTTATGACAGTGTTTTTCACCAATGGTTCCATGTATGAATTAATGAACTCTGGGTTGTTATCTACAATTGACAAAACAAGTATCACCTCTGATAGTGAATGAATTGAGACATGGACACGCAGACACAAAATTTTTCAAAAAAGTAGGACATGGACAAGTTACATATTATGCCTTTTAAAATTTTAATTATATATATGCGACACACTTACACCCTCACCACCCACTCGCATCTCCTCTTTCAATCCTACCTCTTTGATCTGATAATCTCATACTCAAGAGATCAACCACTTTAAATATATAAATACCATGTGATAAAATAAATATATTGAGATAGTAGTCATTGAATTGATCCTGTCCTTCATTCTAACAATTCACATCATGATATCAAATAAAAAATACAATATCACATATATCGATGCACAATAATTATAAACATCTATGATTCAACTATCAATGACTATTGCAATTTCCATTAAAAAGATATCTCACTTTGTAATCCTAATTTTTATCAATTTCAAAGGGCCCAAATTTCGTAATCCCATTTTTTATCACATTACTTTACTATAGAAAGCTTATTCCAGTAGCCTTCATTTGTGTCCGAAATTATGTTATATTCATGTTATGTGTTCATTTAGCAATTGTAACCCTTTTTTATATCATGCCTTTGATCCGTATCTCTTTAAGATTACAATAATAACTTCCTTAATTATCAAGTTACTTGACAAGTTTTTAAAATTTTGAAAAAAATTTCAAAATGTGTCCTCCAACGTGTCCTGCAAAAAATTTAACAATTAAAAAATCGGACGTCATAAGCCATCAAATCAAAACAATCTAGGCTGTTGTTTGAGTTTGTTGGGGTATATTCTAATGAGCTTCCTATTTTATTATATAGATGTTTGTTCATATTCTTTTAGTGGATGCATTCAATGCTGCTAACTATTTGGGTGTTTAGATCCCATTACTCTTTCATAGGTTGTAGTATGGTTTGTATACGTGTGTAAAGAGGCGAGCTGATTGCGGGTCAAAGCTTGGCTCTAGCTGATAGGCTAGCAGTAAGCTTAGCTGCAGGAAAGCGCCTACGAGTGGGTAGCATGAAATTTTAGTAACATAGCTTGATCAAACTGAAATCCCATCTCTATTTGAAGCCCACTCTGCCATTTTAGCTAAAATGCTAGTGTGTGTGTGAGAGAGAGAGAGAGAGAGAGCCCATTATACTTGAGGATTGGGAAGCTAGTCTAATATAAATATAAATATGATATGCAAAAAGAAAAAAATTGTTACAGGCTTCTGAAAGTCTGCTGCGGGGTTATCCGGTTATAATTGAGGATGCATCAACCAATTCCCACTCCCATTCCAAATTGCCTATGAATTCTGAGCTTCTACACCATCCTATTGAATGACGGAGTCCTGTAAATGTCACCCTGGCCTTTTTAATATGCTGGAATGTTAAAAATGTGTGTAATTGTCATGAAGGGGTGATTACCACGCCTTGTATGATGAATGATCTAATCTTGTGGCCATTACTCACCCCTTTTGCCAAATGCTTCAGGAACTCAATCTGTTCTGCAAAAATTTTCTCTTTAGTGAATTTTCTTCTTCCTTGCTTCTATGGATGAAGGACATAGGATGCTTTCACTTTGTTGTCTCTTGTTCAATTGATATTTGAGCTGGTGTCATGGCTGATCCTCTTGTACGTCATTCCATGTTTGAGTCCTGTTATTTTCTGAATAGGTGTCTGATTTTTATAAACGGCCGAATGTGGAACTGAGTCCAGCAAAAGCTGCACTGGACGAAGCTTCTCAATTGTCTGACAATCGAGGTGTCCAGATGCTGGGGCAAATAAAGCATGGTTCATGTCGTCCTCGAGCAATTTTATTCAAAGTTCTTGCGGATACTGTAGGTCTTGAAAGTTGCCTAATGGTGGTAAGCTTTACCTTCCGTTGGACCGATATACTTCAACTTTTTTATTTTCATTATTCAGTATTTTTAGATAGAAGTTTTGTCAGTTCCATTGGATGAACTGGCATGTGTAATACATATGTTTGATTACTTACCCTCACATCAGATTCTTAAAGCCATGCCTTTTGCTCTTCTCCTTCTGTGGTTTTTTGGTTTTTATTTTAATCAGGGGTTGCCTAATGAAGGAGCTGCTGACTGTGTAGACTCATATAAGCACATGTCCGTAATAGTTTTCTTGAATTCCATTGAACTATTGGTTGATCTCATGCGGTGTCCTGGTCAATTGATACCCCGATCTACCAAGGCAATTTTTATGACCCATATTTCTGCTGCTGGGGAAAGTGATTCTGCAGAAAATGACTCCTGTGATTCGCCACTAGAGCCGAACAGTCCACTATATGGCTATTCAGAGAGAGTCGATCCTGAGAGGTTGGCAGATAATTATTCTGTCTTAGTTATAATATATACTTTGAACTTACCTGTTTGTTAGTTTCGCACTGCTGTTGTATTGAAAAACTGAATGTCAACCCATTAGGGTAGCTCAGATGTTAGGGCTTTACTCAAGGTCCCAAGTTCGATTCTCGCAAGAGACACCCTTGTTGACCTAATGCGTGTGGTTTGCGGCTGATAACTTCCCTAGTTTCCATAGCAACCGTGAGTATAAAGGCTGCGTGGTTGAGACAGTTCCCGCTTACTTAAAAAAGAAAGAAAACCAAATGCCAGAAATTTCTCTTGGGAGTTACTTTCCATAAGTTTCATGATACTTCAGTTGATGCCTTCTTTGTAAAATTGGTTTTGTAGTTATTACTACTGTGTCATATACTGCAGTACTGAGAAAGATGACGGCCTCCAATACCAGCGGAGATTAGAAGCATCTTTAAATGTGCAAGGGCCTTCTTTGAGGAATATGATGCTGCGATCCTCCACCTACATGGACAGAAAAATGAGGTAATGTTCGTATTCATCTTGACTATTCCAACTTTGGACTGAAACGGCATTTGAAATCACTTATTTCCTTTTTATTCTGTTTGAGTTTGTTGTTTGTTTCTGACCTTTTTTGAATGTTTATGTGAGCGGGTTGTCATTGAGTATTTTTCACTGCCTCAGTTTATCACATAGCGAACCCAATGTTGCAGCTACATTTTGGCGGAGGAGCCGCAGAAAGGTCATTGCTGAACAACGGACTGCAAGTTCAAGGTTTTTCTAAATGTTCACGCAATATGTTGTATTTGTATGATATCTAACAATTTATGTGGGAAATTAATATTTAATTTTTTAACTTAGTAGTTTAGGATTTGTTGTATTTGATTATTTATGATGATACTGTCAACAGTGCCTGTTTTGCATAGGGGTGCAAAAAAAAATTGAACCAAACCCAGCACATGACTATGTTCGTGAAGAGTGTTCGGGATTGGCTCGGGCTCGTGATGAGCTTCAAACATCTTGTTCAAGCCCTACTATCTTTATTANTAAGCTTTACCTTCCGTTGGACCGATATACTTCAACTTTTTTATTTTCATTATTCAGTATTTTTAGATAGAAGTTTTGTCAGTTCCATTGGATGAACTGGCATGTGTAATACATATGTTTGATTACTTACCCTCACATCAGATTCTTAAAGCCATGCCTTTTGCTCTTCTCCTTCTGTGGTTTTTTGGTTTTTATTTTAATCAGGGGTTGCCTAATGAAGGAGCTGCTGACTGTGTAGACTCATATAAGCACATGTCCGTAATAGTTTTCTTGAATTCCATTGAACTATTGGTTGATCTCATGCGGTGTCCTGGTCAATTGATACCCCGATCTACCAAGGCAATTTTTATGACCCATATTTCTGCTGCTGGGGAAAGTGATTCTGCAGAAAATGACTCCTGTGATTCGCCACTAGAGCCGAACAGTCCACTATATGGCTATTCAGAGAGAGTCGATCCTGAGAGGTTGGCAGATAATTATTCTGTCTTAGTTATAATATATACTTTGAACTTACCTGTTTGTTAGTTTCGCACTGCTGTTGTATTGAAAAACTGAATGTCAACCCATTAGGGTAGCTCAGATGTTAGGGCTTTACTCAAGGTCCCAAGTTCGATTCTCGCAAGAGACACCCTTGTTGACCTAATGCGTGTGGTTTGCGGCTGATAACTTCCCTAGTTTCCATAGCAACCGTGAGTATAAAGGCTGCGTGGTTGAGACAGTTCCCGCTTACTTAAAAAAGAAAGAAAACCAAATGCCAGAAATTTCTCTTGGGAGTTACTTTCCATAAGTTTCATGATACTTCAGTTGATGCCTTCTTTGTAAAATTGGTTTTGTAGTTATTACTACTGTGTCATATACTGCAGTACTGAGAAAGATGACGGCCTCCAATACCAGCGGAGATTAGAAGCATCTTTAAATGTGCAAGGGCCTTCTTTGAGGAATATGATGCTGCGATCCTCCACCTACATGGACAGAAAAATGAGGTAATGTTCGTATTCATCTTGACTATTCCAACTTTGGACTGAAACGGCATTTGAAATCACTTATTTCCTTTTTATTCTGTTTGAGTTTGTTGTTTGTTTCTGACCTTTTTTGAATGTTTATGTGAGCGGGTTGTCATTGAGTATTTTTCACTGCCTCAGTTTATCACATAGCGAACCCAATGTTGCAGCTACATTTTGGCGGAGGAGCCGCAGAAAGGTCATTGCTGAACAACGGACTGCAAGTTCAAGGTTTTTCTAAATGTTCACGCAATATGTTGTATTTGTATGATATCTAACAATTTATGTGGGAAATTAATATTTAATTTTTTAACTTAGTAGTTTAGGATTTGTTGTATTTGATTATTTATGATGATACTGTCAACAGTGCCTGTTTTGCATAGGGGTGCAAAAAAAAATTGAACCAAACCCAGCACATGACTATGTTCGTGAAGAGTGTTCGGGATTGGCTCGGGCTCGTGATGAGCTTCAAACATCTTGTTCAAGCCCTACTATCTTTATTATAAAACAGGAGTGTGTTTGAATTTTATCCCAGTCATATTTTTCCTCTCAAAATCATCACCAATCACTTACCTCACCCATCATCCATTTGTCAGACTCAAACGTTAAATTACATCATCATTTCTATCACATATTTATTCATTTATATATTTCCTCCCTAAAAATATCACACAACTCATATCTATCATATATTTAATCATTTAATGTTTAATTAATTTATAGTTAATATATTTTGAAAAAATTTAATATAATGGGCTCAATTTTTTGGACTCTTGAATTTTATATTTTATTGTGCCTTCAGGCACGGGTTATAACTAGTTAATTTATATCCAACTTTGGGCTTCGTTTATCTCGTTTGATTAACAAATCGAGTTCAAGCTTAAATTCATGTTTAGACTCGTGTGCAAGTTCAAGTTTGGCTCGTTTATATATACATGTATGTTGTACATGTTAAAGACAATGTTGTATTCAAGAATCAAAATTTTGTTTCGGTGTATTGTTTCAATTTCCTAGAAAACAGAAACTTTTTGATGTGTTTCAGAAACATTTAGACTCATTTCGGAAATATAATGAAAAAAATAAAAAATTTAAGAATTAATTTTCTAAAATATTGATTTAAATATATTAAAGTATCTTGAAATACCTTGAAACATTTTGAAACAAATGCATTGAAATATTATAATACATCTCGAAACATTATGAAATATCTTGAAATATTAGAATTTCGATTCCATCACTAATTCGTTTCGGTCTCCTTAGAAACAGAAACATTTTAGACGTTTCAAAACGATATTTTGATCCTTAGTTGTATTCACATACTAGCGATGGACCCGCGCCTAAAGGCACTTTGTAACACAAAAAATTATCAATTAAAATTTAAAAAAAATGAAAATAAATAGCAATTATCAAAATGAATAGCACCAATGCACACAACCTATTAAAATTAAGCTGACCCTGTGTCAAGATTTGTTAGCGAAGAAAGTTTGAACCACTGTATATATCAAAGCAAAGTTTTATGGTGTGCCTTATATTCCCAAACCAAAAAATTAAAGACTAATTTCACCAATTTTCTCTCAATAACCAAAGCATGATCATGTGCTAATCAAATAAGCATTACCGTGTCAAATAACGAAACACATTCCATCAGACCATTAATGATGGTCTCGAAAAAGAAAAATTATTCCATCATTAATCTTACTCATTCAACGATGCTTTTGTGACTAAATGCTTCAACCGTATAACATTAGCTTTATCATTGTTCTTGACATTTGCATCCAAAATAAACAATACTCATATCATATCAAACAATTTTGAAATCAAAAAGAATTCTTTATAGAGGTGAAAGCAAATTTACATGTTGCTATATTGAAATTTACAATCATAAACAAACAAATCAACTCCATACACTCATCTAAATAGTCAGAGTTTGCAATTCTAAAAATTAGAATGTCATATGAATATAAAAGACATAGATAGATGATGACTTCAAAACCGAAAACCAATCAAATAAATTACTATTAGTAAAAAGACCTAAAATGTTATACATACTCAATAATACCATGGTTTGCTTTTTTCAAAAATGTTTTCCAATACGACAATACTTACCATTTTTTTTAGAGTGTACTGACCCGCTAATACAAATGGGTATAAACCAGGATAAAATTGAGTCAATATATCAACGAAAATGTGTGAAGTGATGACAAAATTTCATACCCGCACATTTGTTTCTTTTATTAGATTATCCTCATCTTTCTAACATTACATCAAGACTACACTATGGGAACAACATATCATTGAACAACCTTATGTTAACCATCTCATAAGAAAAACTAAAATATAAGATTCATTAAAACAAAATTTTAGCCATCATAAGAAATAAATTCACCTCAAAATAAATTAGCAAGACAAAGGATAGAATAAAATATAATTTTTTTCCAAAAGAAAACAAAAATTCCAGCTACAACGGTTAATTGAAGCCGCAAGATATTACATTACAAGCTCTGCCAACATCAAAGCACATTTATAACCATGGAAAATTAAGTGCCAACTTAAACGAGATAGAACAAACGTTAAAAAAAAATCCATGAGAATTACCATATGATACTTTCGGTATCATGCAAATTCAAAACATAAATCAATAACCAATTAAGCAAAACAAACTAAACTTTGAAATCCCAAATGTTTAGCTTTTTTTCTACATATTAAAATTAATAGAGATTTTTGGTTTTGGATCTTGGATTCTGAATATGTGGGGTATTGTGTGGGTATTCTGAATAGTGAATTTGGCAGTGTTTGTGTATGAGTTTGTTGTGTGTGCGTTTGTGCTGTGTCTGTGTTGTGTGCAGTGAGTTGAAGATAAAATGAGCAAGAGAGATGAATACCGAGGAAGAGAGACAGAGAGAGAGAAAGGGGGGGTGGTGGGAGGGAGTAAGAGATGGGACCTGACTTGTGTTGACGGTGATGGCCTCTCAATGACGGGTCGCTTGTCAAATGGCTCTATGGCGTCAGTTAGGAGAGAGGGAAGAGTTGGGGAGAGAGAAGGCAGAGATGGAGGGGTGGGTGAATAGGTCATTGGGGTCCGTGTGAGAGGATAGGGGGAGTTTTTTGACTTTGGGCGGGAATTGATTTTTTATGATAAAATTAGGACCACCATTGGATTGAATGGGATGCTAGTTGGATCAATCTCAACCACTCTTGTGTAAGCTAAGGAATTCAGAATGGGTTGTTTTTTATTATATAAATATAAAATATATGTAATATTACATATTATTTAAGTGTTCACGACCCTAATGATTTGCATAAGCAATAGTTCGGACTTGACTTGTTTATTAAACAAACTTCAAAATTGTGCTCAAGCTTAGTTCACTAGGTAAATGTACGAACTTCAATAAACTTTTTTATGAGCCGATCTCATGTTGCTCATGAACAATTTGGTTCACTAGCAGCCCTAGATTTTGAGGCCACATAAGTTATTGAGGTTCCTTGATTTGGGATTGATGAATGTCTTCTCCACCAAATATGGGATCAATCTTTCAAGTTTCCACGAGATTCTTTGCCTTGAATTGTGATTATAATCTGAGTACGGACACTCTTATGAAGATGATGCATTTGTGTTAAACATCGGCACTCCTCAACCACATACTTTTTTATTTGTGTCCCTAATTAAAAGATAAGTTCTAATTTGGAATATGTCTCCGACAATCCTTTGGTGACATGTCCAACACTTTTTTGGGTTGTCTTACTATACAATAAACATGTGTTGATATGTAATTCACAAAGTTTAAAATTTTACAAATGACTATCTTATAATAGGAGAGAATATAAAACTGTTAAGATTAGTTATGTTAAAGTTGTTCTAATAATTTATTAACAAAAGAAAAAGGTGCACAAAAGTTTTGCTAAAGAAGAGGAGTTGAGAGGATGAGAGAAATCATTGTAATTATGTATGTTTGCTTTTAGTGTTAAAATTCACATGCTAGATATAAGATTTAAGCGAGTTGTGTCATCGTTGGAAGATCAGTGGCTTAAAGTAGGACTGTCAATTCTTAATAAGACACGATACAAAGCGGTTATGAGTTTATCCTTAATGGGTTTGAGACTTTGAGTAATAAACCAGTTGACTTGCAAACCTGACATAATAAATGAGTTGACACAGCCATGTAAGCTAGAGTCATACATGATTCAAATTCAATGGGACATGAACTGGACTATACATGATCAGCTGTACATACTTCATGGGGTTTGCTCCCTTCAAATGTCATGAAAAATGAGATAAACTCGCAAATCTCTTGTTTGAAGTTTACTTTTTCCAAAACATCTATAGAACACTGAGCTGCTAATGCAGTGGTTAGTCCTGATGAAGTCTTGACGTATCATGTAAGCTGTACTTCGTTTTGGAAAGGTTTTTGGAATCCAAAGAATAGTAAAACTATTATTGCATTAAAAACTTGATGCAAGGCGTCACCAAAAAAGTCAGAGTACTGTTTTTTAAGATATATTATTTGGTGGGCTTAGGCAGTGCAGAGGTATAGATTGCTAGAAGGTTTTCCAATTATGTTTTGCTTTGTAGAAGGGTTGAATAAGACCGGGTAATAGCTTGCTAAAGTTTCATAGTGTGCAAAATTGGATGCCAACATTTTAGGGGGTTTTAGTGTCAAAAGAAAGGCTTGTCATTATAATTTTTTGGGGAAGAGCTGAACTGTAGTTTGGCCTCTGTGTAAACACGGTTTTGAAGTCATATGCCCTTGTGTCACCCTAGTTTGAGTACGAACTAACTTTAAGAATAAGATGACGAGCAACCGAAGCCAGCAGAAGTAAAGAAGGAGCTCATGAAAAGATCAAAAGAGTTTTAGCAAATGGAGGGGGTGAAAGAGGGAGAGAGAGAGAGAGAGAGAGAGAGACCTGACTGAAGTATTCATTAACAAATTTCACAGCTGTAATGCCTGCATTATTTCTTCAACCGCTGTAATGTTTGGTATCTCATGCATCAATTACCATTTTAAACAAATTTACAATTAAATTTGAGAGCTCACTTCAAAGATACGTCCATTAATGATACCATGATTAAAAATACAAAGGCAAAACAACATGAGCACTATAGGTATGCACGGTCATGTCTTGTGTCTTGACTTTGGAGGGTTCCATGTCAGACATCCCATGTCCAGGTCAAAACTCATATGTACGTGTTAGTGTCCACAAATCATTGGTTAGTGAAGTAGGGGATGGTTTAGGACATAGTTACAAGAAATCACTAAACCCCTTACGGCCTCGATTTGGGTGTAACGATTCTCTTTGGAACATATATCACAAATGTAAAATAGATATTAATTGATTATGTTTATATGGATATATAATTACATATAATTTTAGATGATAGGAAATCGAGCACAAACGTAAAATAAATAGTAATTGACTGTATATTTATGGTTGTACTATCACATAAAAATTTGTATTGTAATGAAAACAATCTAGATAAAGGTCCCAAAACGAAGTGTCACCCAAAATACCGTTCTAGCTAAGCTTATTCCCATCGTACTACGTACCTAAGAAAGTGTTTTAATTGTATCATGTACCCATACCACATACTAAATCGATCTACGACTCAAGTAACATTGATTTAGGATTTGGGAATATGGATTTAGGATGAAAGTCTAAAGAAAATAGGTATTTGTTGTGATTTAGTAAACAAACAAGAATTGTTTTTGGGTTGTTGGCATTGCCTAATTCTATTTTTTATCAAGTGCTCCTGATTATGTTTTGTCTTTTTATCCAACACAATTGATCCATACTAAAGGTTACACATAAAGAGCCAGCATTGTTACTATGCTATGGGATGTTACTCAATTTGCGTCCCAAAAATGTAAAAGGTGGCAATATATGATGGACTTTGTATTGAAAAAGAAAAGCACTAATGATATAGACCAGCATTCAACTTCAAATAACCATCAAAAAACTTTATTTGCTACATGGGCACTAACCTTAGAACCAAAGGAGGCTTTGGGTCCCCAAATCCTTGTATTTTGATCAAAAGCTTGTTACATTTGGTTTTCCTATTTACTAAATTTGATACCGGCCAAGAATCTGGAAACGTAATTGAAATGATGAAACATCAACAACACCCTAACATACAAAAAAGAAAAAGTTACAAAAGGGTAGAAAGTTGCAAAAATGTATTTGGTGAACTATATAGGAAGTTGGAATAAAAAGGTCTACTCTTGAAAAAATATTACAAACATACGATTAGTTATACTTATCATGGTAGTGGCTTGTGATCTAGTTGGTTTGCTTCTCCATTAATAACACGACCAAACTAAAGCAAATTTCTAGTGAGCTTGTTTGACCCTGGCAATTTCAAATTTCAAAAATAAAAATTAATTGCTAGGGATTTAGGATATAAGGTATAACCATGTTCCTTTCAAAAAAATTTTGTATGCTAGGAAAACACAATAACAATCTAGTGAGCTTGTTTTTTGAGTTATTAGCCTATTGAATGAATCTCATGTTGTCTATAGGGTAGAGCAAAATTAGATCTCCTTTGTGAGGTTGAGATTGAGATTTCCTTACACAAGATAATTGTTGTGACGTCCCAAAATCCGGGAGGTCTTTTCTCAACTCGTTGATCACTTATCAACCCTTGGAATATCTGTGGATACTGTGTAACCCGATACTACGTCGTTATACCCCATTCACCAGGATTNGAGAGAGAGAGAGAGAGAGAGAGAGACCTGACTGAAGTATTCATTAACAAATTTCACAGCTGTAATGCCTGCATTATTTCTTCAACCGCTGTAATGTTTGGTATCTCATGCATCAATTACCATTTTAAACAAATTTACAATTAAATTTGAGAGCTCACTTCAAAGATACGTCCATTAATGATACCATGATTAAAAATACAAAGGCAAAACAACATGAGCACTATAGGTATGCACGGTCATGTCTTGTGTCTTGACTTTGGAGGGTTCCATGTCAGACATCCCATGTCCAGGTCAAAACTCATATGTACGTGTTAGTGTCCACAAATCATTGGTTAGTGAAGTAGGGGATGGTTTAGGACATAGTTACAAGAAATCACTAAACCCCTTACGGCCTCGATTTGGGTGTAACGATTCTCTTTGGAACATATATCACAAATGTAAAATAGATATTAATTGATTATGTTTATATGGATATATAATTACATATAATTTTAGATGATAGGAAATCGAGCACAAACGTAAAATAAATAGTAATTGACTGTATATTTATGGTTGTACTATCACATAAAAATTTGTATTGTAATGAAAACAATCTAGATAAAGGTCCCAAAACGAAGTGTCACCCAAAATACCGTTCTAGCTAAGCTTATTCCCATCGTACTACGTACCTAAGAAAGTGTTTTAATTGTATCATGTACCCATACCACATACTAAATCGATCTACGACTCAAGTAACATTGATTTAGGATTTGGGAATATGGATTTAGGATGAAAGTCTAAAGAAAATAGGTATTTGTTGTGATTTAGTAAACAAACAAGAATTGTTTTTGGGTTGTTGGCATTGCCTAATTCTATTTTTTATCAAGTGCTCCTGATTATGTTTTGTCTTTTTATCCAACACAATTGATCCATACTAAAGGTTACACATAAAGAGCCAGCATTGTTACTATGCTATGGGATGTTACTCAATTTGCGTCCCAAAAATGTAAAAGGTGGCAATATATGATGGACTTTGTATTGAAAAAGAAAAGCACTAATGATATAGACCAGCATTCAACTTCAAATAACCATCAAAAAACTTTATTTGCTACATGGGCACTAACCTTAGAACCAAAGGAGGCTTTGGGTCCCCAAATCCTTGTATTTTGATCAAAAGCTTGTTACATTTGGTTTTCCTATTTACTAAATTTGATACCGGCCAAGAATCTGGAAACGTAATTGAAATGATGAAACATCAACAACACCCTAACATACAAAAAAGAAAAAGTTACAAAAGGGTAGAAAGTTGCAAAAATGTATTTGGTGAACTATATAGGAAGTTGGAATAAAAAGGTCTACTCTTGAAAAAATATTACAAACATACGATTAGTTATACTTATCATGGTAGTGGCTTGTGATCTAGTTGGTTTGCTTCTCCATTAATAACACGACCAAACTAAAGCAAATTTCTAGTGAGCTTGTTTGACCCTGGCAATTTCAAATTTCAAAAATAAAAATTAATTGCTAGGGATTTAGGATATAAGGTATAACCATGTTCCTTTCAAAAAAATTTTGTATGCTAGGAAAACACAATAACAATCTAGTGAGCTTGTTTTTTGAGTTATTAGCCTATTGAATGAATCTCATGTTGTCTATAGGGTAGAGCAAAATTAGATCTCCTTTGTGAGGTTGAGATTGAGATTTCCTTACACAAGATAATTGTTGTGACGTCCCAAAATCCGGGAGGTCTTTTCTCAACTCGTTGATCACTTATCAACCCTTGGAATATCTGTGGATACTGTGTAACCCGATACTACGTCGTTATACCCCATTCACCAGGATTACAATAAAACGGAATTCGCACAGAGTCTCCTTTGCACAGGAGTTCTACCCAATACATAACCCGTGCATACATCAATCATACGACCATTACAAGGTCCATATTCCAAGTTTAGGAGTTAAAATTTAATCATTCATATTGTCCAAAGAAAAGAACTCAAAATGTAATGGCTCGGAAGCGTTGAAGTTCAAAAATCAAATTTCGGGAGGAGATATTGGTGCATAGATACCAGTATTCCGTTGACAGTAGGTCCAGGTATCGGTATCAAGTCTTACAAGTACTGGTACTTGGCTTCTAGGGGGTTCAGGTACCAATACTCCTTATCAGAGGTACTGATACCTCTTCCCGAAATTTGATTTTTAAATTTCAACGCTTTCGAGCCTTCATATCTTGAACTCTTTTCTTTGGATGATATGAATGGTTAAATTTTAAGTCCTAAACTTTGGGATGTGGACCTTAGAATGATCGTATGATTGATGTATGCACAGGTTATGTATTGGGCAGAGCTCTTGTGCAAAGGAAACTCTGCCCGAATTCCGTTTTGTTGTGATTTCGGTGAATGGGGTGTAGTGACGTGGTATCGGGTTATACAGTATCCACAGGTACAAGTATTTTGTGGGTGATTACCGAGTTGAGAAAGAATCCCAAATTTTGGGGCATCATAGCTCCCCATTCCCCGGGATCATAACAAAACGGAATTCGAGTAGAGTTTTCTTTGCACGGGAGTTCAACCCAATACATAACCTATACATACATCAGTCATACAACCATTCTAAGGTCCACATCTTAAGTTTAGGACTTAAAATTTAACCATTCATATTGTCCAAAGAAAAGAACTCAAAATGTGAAGGTTCGGAAGCGTTGAAGATCAAAAATCAAATTTCGAGAAGAGGTATCCACGGTTATTCCGCAGGTTGATGGGTGATCAACGAGTTGAAAAAGGATCCCTGGGTTTTAGGGCATCACAAGTGTTTCCTATATATTCTCATTTTTTGCTCAATGAGGTAATTTGGGTATCAAGATCCTTTCATTGAGTTTTTAGGAGATTTTTTTTTGTGGCGTAAACCTCAGTTTTGATACTTTCTTGGAGGCTATTGTTTTATACTCCCAGGTTTACATGGTTTGGGCTACATCTTTTATGTGTTTTTACAATCTTGTTAATGCCATATACATAACTGATCAAAATGTTATTTAACTTATTAGCAACTTCAGAGCCTACTTGAGTTTAAAAAAAAAAGATTTGGAAGTATGTTGAACCTATAGGTGGGAGGCGTTTTGAAAAATACTTCTAATTCAAATGAGTATGCTTGACAAGTGTTTACGTTTCTATTATGGATATTTTAATAAGTTTTGTGTCTAAAAACCCATGTTTGGGACTATTGTGGGTTCTTTATTTGGTATGTTTTGGATTTTGCAGTCCAGAGCATCCGTCATTTCGGGCACGTGGTCGATCCATGCTAAGTGCCGATCAGAAGTCATTTAGAGATTATTCCGATGATATTGCTTCGTCAAGGTAATTGTTGTTATTCCATTGTAATTGAAAACACATATGTTTTACATATTTTATCTTTAGCAAGATGGAATGTAATACGTTGACAAGTTTGTATCCTTGAAGCGAACATGAAATATTGAGTCAAATATATTTCTTTGCATGCAAAGAGTAATTGCTAAGCATGCGTAGGGGCATTATAGTTTTGATTGCAAATCTCCTCCTTCTCATGGTATGCAATATGAATGCAATTATGATTCATACTTAAGTATAATTAGAAAAATGGTAGCAGTAATTAACAGACATTCTTTTTGAGCAATCTTTTTAGGAAAGGAGACATACATAAGTTTGTAAGAACTTTTCTTTTCTTTTCTTTTCCTTTTTTTACAAAGAAGTTTTGTTGGGGAACCTCAAAAACTATTATTAATGTCTCTTCATAAATTTTTTAAGGTTATTTCTTATTTCTAAATCTCTATGCTTTTAGACCTTGAGAATACAAGGTATAGCCTATGAATCATGATGATTTAGGTTTCAAAACCTTATGTAGACTAGTAATTGTTGAGGATGGAGTGCCACTTGGATGCTTTAATGGCAGATGGGGTGGTGTTCAGGGGTGGTTTCGAGTGGAAGAATGTGTCGAGCAAGTTGATGGAAAATCCACATGTGTAGGGGCTGGAGCTTCAATAAGCTAGAGGGTGGGTACATTAGGCCTTAACAAGGGTCAAGAGGTGTCAAGGCTGAATCTTCAGAGTTGCAGAGGTTTGAGGAATATATAGAAGCTCTAGGTGAAGCTTTGCTCATGTTTGGACTACTTGATGAGTTTTCGCAGAGGCCTTTGAGATTGCGAAGTGCTGTAGTAAACATAGGTTGGGTTAATGACCTAATGTTGAGTGCAAGGATCTACATTTTGTTGCATTTCTATAGAAACCTATGCAAAATTGAAACATATCTGAAATTCTTATGTTAGAGATGTTTCAGAATGTTTCAAAATTTTTTGGGATGTTTTGCAATCAAAATTATGTTTTTGGTTGTGCTTACATTCTGTTCCAAAAAGTTTTTGTTTTCGAGTTGAACAAAACTATGTAGCAAAAAGAAATTTTGATTCTTGATTGAGTGTGCCCAGGTTGGAGCGGATGCATATGAACATCTGGGCGGTTTTGAAGAGATGGGACATGTTAATAGGCACATAATTCACGAGGTCCCTTCTATACTTCAAAGAGATGAGACATGTGTAGTGCTCGATTTTTTTTAGGGAGGGAGAAGGGTATTGAACCCTTGACCTTAAGAAAGCCTTCACAAGGAAAGTAGTACCATCGGACCAAAGACCCGTTGTTATGTTTGGTGCTTGATTAGGTGTGCAATAGTTCACATTATGTACCCATACAAAACATAATCAGATTGTATGGTCTAACATAGATCTAGGGCTAGTTTCATCCCCACAAACCATTGATTTTTCCTCTTTTCTTCTCCTTTCGCTTTATTCTTCTTTAATTATTTTGTTGACTTGTAATTAGGTATTTTGTCTGAAGTATACATAATTAGGTGTAGGACTTTTATGTGAATTGTGGTTGACAAGGCTCTTATTGAGGTGACGCTCTTTTTTGTCCCTTCTTGTCTTTAACTTCCTAATTTCTTTTTCTTTTTATCCTCATCATCCTCTTCTTCTTTAGCCACTTTGAGTTGATTTGTCTATAAGATAAGAAGCATGAATACAACAAGACATGAACATACAGATATGACATTTCTCAAAAAAGTAAAACATGGGCACGTAGGGGCTACACTAAACGTTACAAAATAATTATGTTTTATGTAGCCTATTATATAATTTATCACAAATGTAGAAATCATTATAGTACTATTCACAAGATATTCAGTACTTTAACACAACTAAATCTTATGTCTAGCCAACTAGTGTGAATTTTTATACTAAAGATCAGAGATGTCAATAATCAATGATTTTTTATAGACAATGTGCAGCAAACATGCATAATTATATTTGTTGCTCTCATCTTCTTAGTCCCTCTTATTATAAAATATTTTATGTATCTTTTCCCATCATTAGTAAAATTTTCATTACAATTTTAATACAAGTAGTCTTAAGTCTTAACAATTATGCATTCTTTTAGAGTATAAGATAATTGTTTAAGAATTTTTTAAGCTCCATTAATTACATTTCAATAGAAGTTAGTATTTTAGTAGATTTGTAATTTTTTTATTACATTTTAACACATTGTAATTATTTATTAGTAGACACGACATAAAGATGTATCGGACACGTCATCAAAGGACTGTCGGATATGTGTCTACAATTGAAATATTAACTTTTAGTTATGGACATGGATAAAAGATTATCAGGCACGTATCTTAGATTGGTCAAGGTGTTCGACACATGTCCGATATGGATACGTCACTTTTATAAGAGTGTCGTGCTTCTTCATCTGTAAGTCTGGGCCAGAAAGTTATTTAAGTGTAGTAGACCCTTCTGAATTTTATAACAAGGCTATTATTGAGTGATTGGCTCTCTCGTTTGAGACTATTTTTCTTTTTGGTGGGTTGGATGAGGTAAAATGCTTTTCTCATTGTCTTTCTTGTGATCATCCAATTCCATCCAAATTAGCTCGTACGCCTACTCTTTGTATATTATTGTTAGTCTTTTTCACATACTCTTGTCTTTTGCCCACCAAAGGGTAGAGTTTGTTAGTGTGTTAAACGTACCTTTATGTGTGGCATTCTTATATGAGTATGCACATAGGTCGTGATTGTATGTGCTTTGCTATTTCTTGGTCTAAGTATTGTCCAAGTCTTTTTGCTTCTAAGTTGCTTTAGGTGAGTATAGTTGAGCAAGTTGACGATATAGTAAAATTAGGTTAACTTTTTGGTCCTCATCAAGAGTTATTATCTTTAGGTTTTTGTTCCTTTCCTTTTGTGTTACGCTTTTCAAAGTTCAAGCCATATTAATTGTGGAACAACTAGCAATAACCCCATGCCTGTAGACACTTTGCAATTTCACAAATCAAACATTGATCGTGCAATATTTCATTTTCTTTTCTTTAATTACACAATTTAAAATTAAAGTGAACAGGGAAAAAATATGAAAGGTAGGGAGAGAGAAGAGGGGTACATGTAGATTAATGGGGTTGTTTGGTATTGGGGAGTGTGTTTGTTGGTTAAGATATTTGACATTGGGGGCCTTGCAGGGAAGATAATTTTTTTGAGGAGGAAAAATTTTTTTGGGATGAATTTTGTACAATTGAATCAAATTAGTTGGAAATTGGATCAATCTTAATTGTTGTTGTACTTTTATAAGTTAAGAATTCAACTTCCGAGCTGTAATAAATAGATTCCAGTTAGATAATGTACAAAGTACTAATATTTTGTTCCTGTGTAGCTACAGGTCGGAAGGAGCATCAACATCAGAAACTCGTAGAATAAGACGAAGAAGCATTAGTATGACTCCCGAGATTGGTGATGACATCGTAAGGTTGATATTTCCTATTGTTATAAATCTTACGCTCGATTACCATGACATCATTTCTTTTTGTATATATAGTAAGGGTAACTTTTCCTTTATTTTGTTAGAACTATCAATGTGGACAGCCACCAAACCAGTGGCCTATCACATTCTATCGAGTCTTTCTTCTTTCTCAAACNTTATTTAAGTGTAGTAGACCCTTCTGAATTTTATAACAAGGCTATTATTGAGTGATTGGCTCTCTCGTTTGAGACTATTTTTCTTTTTGGTGGGTTGGATGAGGTAAAATGCTTTTCTCATTGTCTTTCTTGTGATCATCCAATTCCATCCAAATTAGCTCGTACGCCTACTCTTTGTATATTATTGTTAGTCTTTTTCACATACTCTTGTCTTTTGCCCACCAAAGGGTAGAGTTTGTTAGTGTGTTAAACGTACCTTTATGTGTGGCATTCTTATATGAGTATGCACATAGGTCGTGATTGTATGTGCTTTGCTATTTCTTGGTCTAAGTATTGTCCAAGTCTTTTTGCTTCTAAGTTGCTTTAGGTGAGTATAGTTGAGCAAGTTGACGATATAGTAAAATTAGGTTAACTTTTTGGTCCTCATCAAGAGTTATTATCTTTAGGTTTTTGTTCCTTTCCTTTTGTGTTACGCTTTTCAAAGTTCAAGCCATATTAATTGTGGAACAACTAGCAATAACCCCATGCCTGTAGACACTTTGCAATTTCACAAATCAAACATTGATCGTGCAATATTTCATTTTCTTTTCTTTAATTACACAATTTAAAATTAAAGTGAACAGGGAAAAAATATGAAAGGTAGGGAGAGAGAAGAGGGGTACATGTAGATTAATGGGGTTGTTTGGTATTGGGGAGTGTGTTTGTTGGTTAAGATATTTGACATTGGGGGCCTTGCAGGGAAGATAATTTTTTTGAGGAGGAAAAATTTTTTTGGGATGAATTTTGTACAATTGAATCAAATTAGTTGGAAATTGGATCAATCTTAATTGTTGTTGTACTTTTATAAGTTAAGAATTCAACTTCCGAGCTGTAATAAATAGATTCCAGTTAGATAATGTACAAAGTACTAATATTTTGTTCCTGTGTAGCTACAGGTCGGAAGGAGCATCAACATCAGAAACTCGTAGAATAAGACGAAGAAGCATTAGTATGACTCCCGAGATTGGTGATGACATCGTAAGGTTGATATTTCCTATTGTTATAAATCTTACGCTCGATTACCATGACATCATTTCTTTTTGTATATATAGTAAGGGTAACTTTTCCTTTATTTTGTTAGAACTATCAATGTGGACAGCCACCAAACCAGTGGCCTATCACATTCTATCGAGTCTTTCTTCTTTCTCAAACAAATTCTAACATGGTATAAGCGTATATTTATTCTTAACCCTAGTTTTTTTTTTTTCCCATAACTTTCTCTTTTCTACATTAGTTTTGCTCTTGGTGCCAAAAAAGCTTCAGAAATATCCTTATTGTGTTCTGTTCTATAACTTTTTTATTCCTTCCTTTTTTCTACTTTTTCGAATTTTTGAAAATCCAAATTTGTGTTAGTGCGAGTACACAAGAAGATAAGTGCCTGTGGATGACATGCTGTGTGTCTGAAATATTATCATGATTTGTTGGTTTGGAAATATTTGGTATGGTATTTTGCTTTTAGGTTTGAAGAACCATGTGGGCCCAAAAAGGAAAAATAGTGCATTAACAGCCACTAACTGGTAGTGGCATAATCAGATGCTGAACAAGGAGGTAGGCTTGACAATCCTCTAGTAGCATACCTGAAATAAAGCAACAAATTACAGACACAGTCTCCTCATCTCTCATATGACCGACACAAGAATCTTTGTCCTTTGCTTCAGATTGTTGCCAATCCAAAAAGTCTTCCGTGCTACTGTGTTCAAGTAGCTACCATTGAGGTCTTTATACACTGAGCTACTTTCTGAAATGATATTGGAGAACCCCATCCTTTAATCTCTATGGCTCCCCGTACGCATAGGGCATACAATTCTTCTAGCAATGCTTGACTTATTCCACCTCTCTATCCTGTTAGACTACAGAAATTTATGGTTCACACTACTGCACCCTTCAACAAACTAGTTCTATTTACCTCATAACTCTCTATTCATGATGATTCTGAGTCGATTTACATCTTTTTCCTTGATGTTGCTCTCGCACCGCCAAGAACTCGGATTAAGTGTGATCC